AGTGAGGCTCTTTAGTTAGTCTTTGAGAGCTCACTAACTTAGAAAGTAGTGACTTAGCCTCTTGTGTGAAATAGAGATCATAGCAACTAGAATTGTGGATAGGAGACTTGCATTTTGAGTAGGCTAGCGCAACACTTGCTTCGTCTCATAATTGTCTAACCACTTGGTTTAAGTGTTGTTGTAGAAATTTTAATAGGCTATTCACCCCCTCTAGCCATTAGGACCTTTCAAGCACCATGGCATACACCGACCCGTGTGCATGCGCCCGTGCAATATATCTAGGCTATAGCTGCTAGCTAGCTAGGTCGATAGGGAATCAAAATAGCTAGAGCTCGTCGATGAGCCGATCCAAAGAGCAGCAAAGAAGACACCCAATTAACATGAGAGATCATGAGTCGGTTTCTTTTTTTAGGGATGATATCGTCTAGCACGAGAGAGCCATCTTTGATATGACACTTTGACGGTTTATATCCCACACCGTCACCGATGTTTTTCAGGAAAAAGCGGCTACAACCAAAACCGCCTCTCGACTTACTAGCCGTCTCGATATGCATTTTAGAGCGATGTGGTAATGAAAAGAATGCATCTCATAATCATAAACCATCTCTGATCTAATTTACGTAATCAGGCCGGGCTTCGACAACACATGTCGCTAATACCTTAGAGACGGCTTACGTGAAGATGCGTCTCAATATTGTGTTATCACAGCTGGGTATTCGGATGTGCGGCTCCGGACTAATATTTCGAGACGGCTCTTTTGTATCACCTGTCTGTAGTATTTTTTTGTGATGGTTGCGGCACGACAATCTCTAGTGGATGTGTGTCTTTGTTGTTTTCCGGCGTAGTGTTGATCGGTGCCGCCAGCATGGTCGTCGGTCAATCACATAGCAGCCACGCCTTGTTCATTCTAAAACTTTGGTTTCTACATGCGTTCCTAAAATTACTGTCACATCGAATATTTAGACACATGCATGGAGTATTAAATATAGACTAATTATGAAACTAATTACACAACTTGCGACTAATTTGCGAGACGAATCTTTTAAGCCTAATTAGTCCATGATTTGACAACGTGGTGCTACAGTAAACATATGCTAATGACAGATTAATTAGGCTTAAAAAAATCGTCTCACAAATTAGCCTCCATTTATATAATTGGTTTTCTAATTAATCTATATTTAATACTCTTTATTAGTACTTAAACATTCGATGTGACATGAATTTTAGAAACGACCGAAGAAACAAACACCTTAAGAAAAGTAACCATCCCCTTTGGATTCGTTTTCGAAAAGTAGTGCTGCAATGTTCTTTCTTAATTTGACCACGATGCTCCCCTGTTCTTTTCGGGGTATAGCTATGACCAACTATATGCGTCATGCGTGACGCCTATATAGACGATTAGACGCCCGTACTGTGTGAGGCTAGTCTTGCACAGACTCGGAGCAAGAAAGGACTAGCTAGGGTCACGTTTAGTTGGTGGCTGATTCGGTGCCGGCCGAATCGGTGAAGGTACTGTAGCTACAGTATATTTTTATTTTTATTTAGTAATAATTGTCCAAACATTGATTAATTAGACTTAAAACGTTCGTCTCGTAAAGTACAACTAAACTGTGCAATTAGTTTTTGATTTCGTCAACTCCATGCATGTACCATAAGTTTGATGTAACGGGGAATCTTCTTTTTGCATAGTGCCAAAATTGGTAATTTGGTGGAACTAAACAGGCCCTAGTTAGTATTAGTACTACAAGCCAAGAGCCAGTAGAGGAAAATATCGAGAGAAGAAAACAATGGCGGGCAAGGAGGATCTTAAGCTCCTCGGCCTGCCGCTGAGCCCGTTCGTGGTCAGCGTGCGCATGGCGCTGGACATGAAAGGAGTGAGTTACGAGTACGTCGACGAGGACCTAAACAACAAGAGTGAGCTCCTGCTCAAGTCCAACCCGGTGCACAAGAAGGTGCCCGTGCTCATCCACAACGGCAAGCCCATCTGCGAGTCACTCGTCATCCTGCAGTATGTCGACGAGCTGTTCGCCGGCCGGTCAATCCTCCCAACCGACCCCTACGAGCGCGCCACCGCTCGCTTCTGGGCAGCCTTCGCCGGCGACAAGGTATAAACATGCATGCACTCACGCACGCGCGTTTAATTCCTTCTCTGTTCTCTAGCTACAATCGTACGTGAACACACCGTGCGTGCCTTTCTCGCAGCTGTTCCCGGCGTGGTACGGCGTGGTGACGGCCCAGGCGGAGGAGGAGAGGGCGGAGAAGGTGAAGGAGACGCTTGCCGCGATCGAGCACATGGAAGTGGCCTTTGCCAAGTGCTCCGGCGGCAACGCCTTCTTCGGCGGCGACTCCATTGGCTACGTCGACGTCGTGCTCGGCTCCTTCTTGTTCTGGTTCGAGGCGGTGCGCAGGGTTGACGGCCTGGAGATCATTAACGCGAGCAAGACTCCGCTCTTGGCTGCGTGGGCGGAGAGGTTTGGAGGGAGTGTAGAAGCAAAGGAGGCGGTGCCGGTAACCAAGGCGGACTTGGCGGTACAGTATATCAGTAGGTTTCGTGCCCCTGCCGCCGCCGCTGCGAAGTTAGCGAGTTCAGAATGAGTTCAGGCTGTAATGTTCAAAGCTATGATCCAAATTCCAACCGAATAATGTTCATAATATGCTTGGGTTGACTTTGTCATCTGATTATGTGGTTCCAGTCGTCTGCTCTGCAATAAATATGATTATTTTGGTGTGAACTTCCTCAGAGCTCTGAAATAACTGCGTATCTTCTTTTTCCAGAAATCAATTTTTAATGCTAGTTTCGATGAAGTAGAGAAACGAATGTTCTTACAAGATTTCTTATCGTATCACTGCCACAGAACACATTATTTTCAGAGGTAATGAAAACTCAATATCAGGGGCCCGCCTCTACTTCATGGTCACTTTTTTTTTAGCAGACTTCGTGGTCACTGTTAATCGCAAACAAAAGAGATGGCAGTTCATGCCCACCTATGTAAATCCAGGCAGAAGAACAAAAAAAAGCCCGTCGACAGTGAGCCCATCGCGAGCCTGGTGAGCACAGCAAGCCTGTCAGGAGGCCCACTGATGTCGAACCCACCAAAGTTCTTCCTGTTGGAGACAACCTCGGACACCAGCCTCACACTTCATCATATTCGTCAAACCCGCCATGTAGATCTCATCAGCGACTTTAATACTACTCGAATTGAATCCACTACAGGGAGCAAATCGAATTGAACGAGAGAGTGGGAGGATAGATTCATCGAAACAGGGCCGGTAGGGATGAGGTGGGTGTGGGTGATGTCAATGAGGGCGAGCAAGACAGCACTCCAAGTAGGCTCTAGTGGTGGGAGAGCACTCAAATCCATTACATCTGAGTGCGGAGGAGGGACGGATCCAAAGCCATTGCCACCTGATCTCGTTGAGAGGAGGAAGGGGATATTTTCATCCATGCTAGATCTCATCGTGGTGGATGGGGATTTCGCCATGTCCAGAGGATTGGAGAGGAGGTGGGTACCGTCAACGTCGAAGTGGATATAGAGGTTGTCGTCGGTAGAGACGGACATCCGTTGCCACTCCATTAGCCCCGCAGAGGCCGCCACTAGGCCCTCGACCACAATGCCACTGTCAGGCCCTCGATCGCGCCGCCGTCGCCAAGCCCTTGCCCGGCATGCCGCCTCTGCTGCGATGCTAGAGATGAGAGAGCCGAGGAGAAAGAGGAGCGAGAGGGTGAGACAGAAGGTTAAGGAAAAAATGAGTGTCCCACATGTATATGAACCATAGTGATGGGCTAGTGGGCTTCGACTTTTAGAGGCAAATCTGTTTAGTTTTGTAGAGATGGTTCTAAAATAAAGCAACTGCCTCTGAAGTTATCTAGGTATTTTAGGAGACATAGATGGTTTTGAAGTGCATCTATTGTAAATAAATGGGACTATCTCTTAAAATCATTTTTGCAGTGGTTCCAACCATGCGCTTTTGTTGCTGTTTAGTGGCTTTAGGCCCCGTTTGGGACAACTTATCTCCACCACGCTTCGAATTGAAGTTTGCTTTATCTCACCACTGATTTCCAAAATAATCACGGGGAGAAAAGGCTTCTTGTTTGGCGCGCCCAGTTCTAGGGAGAAGAACCACCATTGCAGCAGTGATGAAGAGGTAGAGGGGGGCATCGGCCGTGCCTCCCTACTCTGGTTCCGGCGCAGAGGAGGAAGAGGGGGCGTGTGCGGCGATGAACCGTCGCCAGCTCACCCGGATCTGCGTAGAAGGGGTGAGGGTTGCCGTCTCCCAATTCGCCACGAGGAAGTAGAACAAAGAAAGGGGCACACCGAAGAGGAGGAAGATGCCTCCCTACTCGGTCGCTAGTGAGGAGGCATGCGCACGACAACCCCTCAACTGGAGGTGCTTCTCGCCCAGATCTTAACCAATGAGGAGGTAGGGGCGACGGTCGACCAAGAGGATGCAGCGGAGGGGCCAACAACGCGACGTGACAAGGATGGAGGGAGCAGGGCAAGGGAGCACAGCCGCCAGCAGACACGAGGCCGGCACGGATGGCGAGAATGAAGGAAGGAGAGGCGGTCCGAGGCGGACATTAGGAGGGCGACGCAGGCAAAGGGAGAAGGTGCAGTGATTTTTCCCACTGTTCTCTCCCTGCAGCTTCTGCGTTCATGTACAATTAGCGCTGTGGAGAGAATCACAGGGAGAGAGCCCGGCATCAAACGTGGCATTTGGGGGACTCGGGCCGCATTGTTTTTTTTTACCAGAATCCGGCTAGAATCTGTTCCAAACAGGCCTTTAGCCTAGGCATGTGAGGTAGGCCATCGAACTATAGATCGGCTCTAGAACATTTCATCACAAATGTATGTACCTGTCAAATCGACATTGCAGAGCTGACGAAAGAGAAATTTTGCGGCATCTTTATTTACCACAAAAACAATCGCTTGCTTTTCAATTGAAATGTCGGAAGACATGCATGTTTCATGCAGGCAGGTAGATGGCCCAAGGCCCAGCACCTATGGTAGCCCATGGCGAGCTCGCCTCATCTTGTTATACTCCAGCAGCCTCTGCACGTCAGGTATCACCTCCCTGACGCCGTCGAGCGCGGCGAACCGGTCCGCCCACGCCGCCAGGAGCGGCGTCTTGGCGGGGTCGATAACCCTCACGCCGCACATCATCTGGGACGCGCGCAGCCACCCGAGGAAGCCGCCTAGCACGACGTCCACGAGGCCGGCAGCATCCCCGCCGAAGAACGCCTTGCCCCCGGAGCACTCCTCGAACGCCTGCTCAAACTTCTCCAGGACGGCCACGACCTGCCTCGCCGCCTCGAGTCTGTCTTCGCTCGTCCTGCCGATGTATACGGGTATCCAGGTGGTGAAGAGCTGCAATGCAAGCCGCGCACAGCTACCGGGGTTAGTCAATCAGTACCAAATCTGAATTAAGTTGATTTGCAATTGCAATTTCAGGGCAAGTGCATGGAAGACACGGTACCTTGTCATCGACATAGGCGGCCCAGAAGCGAGCGACGGCGCGGCGGTACGGGTCGGCGGGGAGGAGGCGGGGGCCGCTGGTCGGGAAGGCCTCGTCGACATACTCCACGATGACCCGGGACTCGCAGACGGGCCTGCCGTCGTGGAGGAGCACAGGCACCTTCCTGTGCACGGGGTTGGAGGCGAGGAGGAGCTCGCTCTTGCTGTCGAGGTCGTCCTCGACGTAGCCGTAGGAGAGGCCCTTGAGGTTGAGCGCGACGCGGGCCCTGATAACGAACGGGCTCGACCACACGCCGAGCAGCTTCAGCTCCTGGTCTTTGTCCGCGTCTCGTCCAGCCATTGGTTTTGCTGGTGAGTGAGTATTCTGGAGTTCCTTTGAACTTTGGAGGAGTATTCCTTCCGTTCTGCGAACGTCAGAATTCGGTTCATTTATTATCGTGTGATCTGATTTGGACCGGTGTGGGAACGTCAGGAAGTGAGGATTGTGTCCATGTGACCATGTGCGTGATTCAGACGTTCACTGTTCGTGTTCGTCATCCATGACGTGCACTCGCTTCGAAAAAAAGCAACAGATACTGTAAACTTTTAGACTTTGAATAACAGCGAATTCTTACTATTTTTAGCTGAATTCTTTATCACAGCTTTTCTCGTTGACACCTACGGGGTAACAGCGATGGATTTGCAGAAAATAATAAAAATCGTATCGACGTGGGTACATGGATTTGTTCGTATCAGAATCGGATAGGATATGGATGCATAAACTCTAAGTAGAGGATGATTCGAATCGGACGTCAACGCGTGAGCAAGGATCTCAGAGACTTAATATCGTTGGGAGGATGATTCGAATCGGACGTCAACGCGTGAGCAAGGATCTCATAGACTTAATATCGTTGGGTGACCATGCGTTTATTTTTCTATTTCCATATTCTAGTGGAGATCGATGGCGTTTTCTTTCCTGTTTCCATATTCCGTTTCCGTATTTCACCGGACGGAGGAAACCAAGAATCCAAGATGGACCCGATCAAGTGTTAGACAGCCGCGCGCGGAAAGATGCGTTGGATGAAAGCCTTTCCTTTTTTGTGTGTGTATAAATGAGTACCAGATTGTTTAAATTAACCAGGTCCCATTAGATGTTAAATAGATCAACAAGTTGAACTCATGCCAAATCTACATATGTCCCTCTGTCTATATGTGTATATATAATATATGCATTTATACATATATTATTGGGAATATGTTAAAAGAAAAAGGAGAAGGAAGACAAGTATACATACATTATACGGATTACAAATATGTGTTGTTAAAGAACAAAAAAGGAAAAGAAAGACAAAAAAAAAAAAAACTCACACACGCAAGCACGCCCGGGCAGCACCGCGGGCTCCGATGATGGAATGAGCTTCTGTATTGTTTGGGGGTGTGTTTGTTTGCCTGGACGTGTCCAGCCTGTATGGACCAGCCTAGCCAGAGTAGGAAGGGTGCAACATGGCCTTGTTTGGTCATTCTTGCCAACTGGGCAAGGTTTCAGGCGGACTGTGTTTGTTTGCCTGGGTCGGATGACAGTGGCTCCAACTACCACCCAACTGTCAAGTTGGGATGGTGTTTGTTGCCAGGACAGCCCGCCCATGCACCAGAGGCAACAGAATTGCACACAATGAAGGCATAGAGCAGATAATCCAATAGCACATGTTTAGAACAGTTACACTGAGATTACAACTTCACAAAGCACAGTTTAGTAATGCTAAATTAACTAATAAAAGCAATAACCACTACTAACAGATGTTGCACTTGTTCAGCTTCATCCACGTGACACAAACCACAGCACAAAGGAAGATAATGCATACAGTTTTGTAACTCATAGAAGTGCTTGTTGCTGCAGTTTCTGTAGTAGCAGCAGATGTAGAAGGTTTAGAAGAAGGAATTGAGTTGATAGTTGAGTTGAAATCAGCAATTGCTTGCTCATATGAACTGTACTTGCGATGCACAGCTCCTTTGTATCCCAATACTTCCTCACTGCATTTAGCCCAGCTTGTGTACACACCTGGGTTCCTGCCTTTGAAAACAACATACCAGGCACACATTGGGTCTGCAATTAAAAGCATTATAGCATCAGTGATTAGATTGAAGTATACACCATAGTAGGGCATTCCATTTGTATCACATCACAGGTTGTATAGTTAAATGCCTCGGTCGAAGAGACATCACAGGAAGTAGAGTAGAAATGCCTCAGCTCAAAGGAAAAAAAACACTTTCGTTGCATGAGGTTGCTAAACTGGTCCTCTATTTGGTTGACTTCAAATTGCAGACCTGAAAAGCAAGCTGCTGAAACACAATGTATAACATAATAGCAGAGAACAACAGATTTGCAACATCAATACATAGTCTCAACTGGTGTCCACAAAGAAAATATTACACAAGTCCAACAATGCAGCATTAGTTCCATACAAGGCAGCCTTAATTTATTACAGACTACCAGAACATGAAATGCACAGCTAAGTCCTAGAAGCCCCCCCTAGATTCCCACATGGCATTAGAGATTGCATCCCTAACTAATGCCATGGTAGGCACCTCTTGTGTCTGCAAAGCATTGACAGGTGGACCAGTGGAAGAAGAAGAAGAAGCAGGGTTTGCAACCCACACTGCTTCAGTTGGGACCACTGGATCAACCCCAAATCCCAGGATCCAATTGTGTAAGCTGCAGCAGGCCTGAACCAGCTTCACTTGTGTCTTGTATTTATGAAATGGCTTGTTATCTAGGATTCGAAAGCGGTTCTTCAAAGCATCAAAGGCCCTCTCAATGGTCACTCTAAGGGAGCTCTGCCTTAGGTTGTACAGCTCCTTTGCATTAGTAGGGTTATGCCTAGGACCATATTCAGACAAGTGGTACCTCACAGCCCTGTAAGGAGGCAGGAACCCAGGTCTACAAACATAACCAGCATCCACTAGATAGAATTTTCCTATAAGGCAGTGGTGGATTGGCTTACAAGACAAAACATAAAGGTTTAAGAACAATGGGGCTATGGGTAATGATGTTACCTTTTACTAACACTCGCAGACCCCATCTCTCTCTATGGCATCAGCTAGAACCAATGCATCATGAGCGTAACCCTCCCACCTAGATGTAACATATGTGAACTTGAGATCAAAATCAATCACTGCCATCACATTTTGTGTATAGTTGTTTTTCCTACCTGAAGGGGCCCCTCAGATGTGCCTGGGCACCTTGCCAACACATGGGTGCCATCAATTGCACCTATACAAATATATGAGTAATGATCAAACATAAGTACTCTTACAGAAATAAGACCCTAAACCCAATATAAACCTAGGTAGACAACAAGTTACTTTGAAAAAAGGGTTCCACCTGTGACTACCCAAGATTTTGGGATCTGTTCAACCAGTTGGTGGTTGGATCAGGTCAGCCCTTAGTTCCCCAACAGTATATAGAACCTGGTGGAAGTGTCTGCTAACTATATTTATAGATCTTCTAAAGCTCTGATGGACAACTCTAAACCTCTGATTGTGTCCAACCACATGGAGAAACATGGGTTCCTCAACTGAGGAATTAATTGTGTCCAGAACTAAACCCCTCTGCCTAAACAAGTTGTAGAGTGTAAAAAAAGGTGCTCTATGCATCCTAAGTATGGATATGCACTCAGCATCAGTTGAGTTGTAAATGAGAGAAAGGTTCTTCTCCCTGTGCTCATCTGCTTCTAACCTAGGGCCATAACAAATGGGCTTATCCTCCTCTCTACGTCTTTTCAGTTTGGCTGAAACAAGGGCAACCATGACAACTACCATGGTAGCAGCCTATGAAGCCATGGCAGATCTCCGCTGCTGCAAATCCATCTACATGCATGAATGAAAGTTTGATTTTAGGTTAAGGCATGCCTTGCTGGCCTCTAAATGCACAACATTGCAGACATAAAAAGGAACTAGTGGATAGGGCTTCATGGCCTCGGCTGCAATGTGCCTAGCACAGCCACCCAGAGGCTCCACCTCAACATCATCGACCAAATAAACCAGCAACAGTCGGATCCCAATCTCAAACCAAGTGAAACAGTAAACCCTAACTCAGATGTATCATCACAGTGGAACAAAAACATGGAAATATCATGGATTGGAACCAAGAACTTACAGATCTGCCACGAGGCAACCATAAATCTGAGAAAAACAACGCTATGAGCATGTAGACCACCGAAATCGGGTCACGTGTAGGCACTTCACATCGCTATAAGCACTTTGACCACCGAAATCAGGTCAAAGGTAAGCAACATTTCAAGATTTCACCTTGCTTTGGGGACGGAGAGGAAGCATTCATGAAAGAAGCCAGCGGCTTGGGGAGGAGGAAGCAGATCCGGAGAGGAAGGAGGCGACGACTTGGGAGGACGGCAGCGTCCCACCACAGCCCACGCCCGTGCAAACAAACACAAGAATTCACCGGCCTTACCTCTCGCCTCGAGGAAGAAGAAGACGACGACGAATAGCAAAGCACCATGCATTTGGCGAGATAGAGAGAGCAACCAACGCGAGCCACGCGAGGCTCGTTTCACGACCCGGCCGCCACCACGCACTACCGGACGATTTGGAGGATGAGGCAAGCGCACCAAGGAGAGTGGAGAGTAAGAGGGAGTGAGGAGCGTAGAGGAGGAAGTGGAAGAGTGAGCGGCGGCCGTGGTTATAAGAGAGGTGAACTTAGCGGGGAGGAGGGAGGAAATTTTAGCGTAGCACGCGAGACGGAGCGTCAACCCGCAACGGCCAAAAAGGAGCCCGCGAGAGGCCGAAATGAGCCACCCGAGAAGTGAATGGGAGGGCGCTTCCACATGGCTCGCTCCCGGTACACTTTAAGCGGCGTGGCTGGTCGGCCCAAAAGCGTGTCCAGTAAACAAATAAAGCCCCCGCAGGCACTGGCCTGCATCTAGCCCTCGTCCATGGAAACAAACACGCCCTTGATCTTCCAGATATCGTAGCGTAGATGGACCCACATAGACAGGTCGGGCGCGCGCACCAAGATGTGTTGGATGAACTTTCGATGTTTTTAAGTGTAGAGATGTACTATTAGTAGTAATTACAAAATAAGTTTTTTTGAAAAATAATTCCAACAGGAAATCCACATATATAACTCATAATTCTAAATAGCTCGATATAGCTTTTTAAGAATAGCAAATTGTTCCATTATTGTATTTAAGGACACTTTTAGCTCTACAAAAAATGTCATTATTTGGCTAGCTATCAAAAAAATTTAGTATTGCTAACTCCAGCAAAGAAAAATATTCCTTTTCTTACTTTAGATGACTATAGTCACCTTATCACTGTGCTCTTTTACTTAACACAAATGATGTAATGAACCAATAAAATTATTAAGTTATTTATTGTTGAATGCTGAATGAATACAAATGTTGATTATATTCATGAGTATGTTAATTGATTGAATGATTGAAGTAATGAATATGCAGATATATATGTTCGCCTAGAGCGGTGAATATGTATGTGAGTATTTGTATTCTTGAAATTTTCTTGTTTCCATATATTTGTGCAGAATTGGTTGAGTATTTCTATGTTTTATTTAAAACCGTTAAATGAAATAATTTTCTACTATGTACGTGTTTGGTTTAGATTTTGCAAAGCGCTTCGCTGCTACAAAAAACAGAACATCCAACTAAACGAAAGTGGCACGTGAAACCGCTATTCAAAAACAACTATTTCCATGTATTACAATTTCCATGATTACCTTGGATCTTACTTTCAACATTCTAATTTTCCAAATAGGTGGAAATAGAGATATTTTATAGTTGTTTCAAAGGAGATAGAGAGAAGTGATAAATTTCATAGTTGTTCCAAACAAACAACTTATAGCTTTTTCACTGCACATAGTTCACAATAGCTTTTCTATCACATATAACTTGTAGTAGCTTTTTCACATCTCATAGGTAAACCAAACATACCATATACCTCGCTATAGCATTTTATGATTTTGTAAGAAACCACCGCTAAATAACTTAGTCCGCTATTTAAAACCTTTAATTTTTTTAGAAACATCTATTCTAAAATGTTTCCGCCATTTTAGCTTTTATAGTCTTTATTCAATAGAAACTCCAAACAGGACTTTAATTAACTCTACTTTCGAGGACTACATTTCAATTGAAACCTACACCAAAAAAGCATAGAAAGGCGAAGGACCAAGGACGTATACTCGATCATTACCTAACACACTAACAAGTAACCACACAAGTCGCACTCTTGCTATGTATCGCACGTGCAACAACATCGCACCAAAGAAGCACGTGCCACAACATCGCACCAAAGAGGAACAGGAGCACTCAATCGATAATATCGCACGGCCACCGCGCAAACCTTCATCGAGCTTAGGAACCGCGTAGGGTTCAGTTATTCGGCGCCAGGGCGGCTGCCGCCGCGCCCCGCCTCATCATGGCGTGCTTGATCACCCTGCCGAAGTCCGGCAGGGCCGTCTTGGCCGCGTCAAGCGAGGCGAAGCGTTGGCCCAGGCCGCCAGGAGCGGGGTCCTGGCGGCGTCGAGGAACTTGACGCCGAGCAGTACCTCGGACGCGCGCACCCACATCGAGGAGGCCGCCCAGCGCGACGTCCACGTACCGACGCTGTCGCCGCCGAAGAAGGGCTTCCCCTTGGAGCACTGCGCCAGTGCGCCCTCCAAGGTCGCCACCGCCGCGAGCATCTGCTTCACCCCTCGCCCATCTCCGCTCGTGTCCTGGTGCCGTCGGGCATCTTGAACCAGGGCTCCACCAGCTGCACGCACACGCAAACAAAACGTCATCATCAGCTCAATCTGCAGCGTGAACCACGAGCAATACAATATGCATATATCACGCAGGACGGAAGCAGGACGACGCAAAGGTAACCTTGGTCTCGATGAAGGCGACCCAGAACCGAGCGATGGCACGTTCGTAGAGGTCAGAGGGGAGGAGCGGCGGTCGTCCAGCGTCGGCGAATGCCTCCTCAATGTAGTCGACGATGACCATGGACTCGCACAGGGCCTTGCCCTTGTGAAATAGCACGGGGACCTTCTTGTGGACGGGGTTGCTCTCGAGGAGGAGCTGGCTCTTGTTGGTGAGGTCCTCCTCCACGTACTCGTAGCTCAGGCCCTTGAGGTGGAGCGCGAGCTTCACTCTAGATCCGAAAGGACTGAACCAAGTGCTCAGAAGCTTCATCTCGTCTCCTCCACCGGCCATTTCCTTAGCTTACTACGCCGTCTTGAGTCTTGTTTAATTTTTGCTGTGTGATGTGTTTGTTTCCTCGCCGTGTGATGTGATGTGATTCGGGCGACGTTCAAGCGAATAGTGGTATATATAGAGCTTGGGCATTGGTTGCTCCGTCGTTTGAGGCTTCGAGCGACTTCTACGGACAAACGTTGTTTAGAATCTCTTATTATGCGATGCAGTAGTGGTTCAGGTGAACATAACAAAACTAGAGAAAGGTACACAAGTTCAAGCAGTCGAGTCAATACCCAGGATCAACATGCGATCGGAAAAACAAGGTTCTACTTGCCTTTCGGCGTGTCGCTCGGCTCGGCGGCTCGCAGAATGCAGGGACAAGTAGGGCACATTGGCTCAGACGCACTCAGGGTTTCGCAGCCAGTTTTAACGGCGCATCGAGCACACGAGATAGGACCGCGGGGCAGAATCACACCAAGGGGCACGTCATACAAAAAAACTGGGCCTCTTTCTCTACTTGTTTCGATTTTATCCCATCTACTGAACATTCGATGGACGGCCCATACAGATTTGGCCCCTTTCTCCTCGTCTTGATCCAGCTATCTGGCTTTTGTCTCTCCAGTCAACGCCGAATTAGACCCATGGCCCGTTACATGCGAGTTCACCCATGAGTCCATGACACAATCTACCATGAAAACGGGCCATTTTGGAGTCGAGTTGTGAATGTCATTCTCAGAACCTTTATATTTTATCTCCACCTATATGCTTTACCAGGGGGGCAAGGAGGCTGACCTTATATGGAAGGGCGTTAATTACTGGTGCCCCCGACGTCTGGAGCTACTCCAAAATATCGCATGCCTCCAGTCCATCAGCGGGCGGCCTCTGTGCAAAAAAGCTTGCGCCGCCTATTTTCGCCGCTTCCACCGTGGTGGGCCCCATGCTATGTACAGTTCTACCATCGCAATCGCCTCGCTTCAAGAGATGATCCCCGTGAGATCCGCACGTGCATAAAACCCACGTGGGGGGCCTAGTCACTCATCCCCGCCAGGATGCCGCATGGTGCGCCTGCCACCAAGCG